GGGGGGGGGGGGAGGAGGGGATCTTTTCTACTTTTTTTTCCATAAAACTTCCCCGAAGAAATACAGTATTTACACAGAAATAAATAGACACCTGATCTCTGCTTTCCCTGGTGGGAGGCAGTCGGAGGTACTAGGGAAAATATGGCTTGGATTCTAATCTCTCGTGAACTGCCAAGGCGGGGGACAGAGGCTGCCCCGTGGGGCCAGGCAGGCTGGGAGAGGCTGGCCCCCTTGGGCACAGCTTGCCCCCGCAGCGGATGGGATAGGATTCCGACGCCAAAGAGCTTGCTCTCCAGGGAAACAGCAATAGAGAAGCCTGAATCTCGTGCAGTGGCTTTGCATATTTGCCGCATCCGGCCCCCTTGGAGTCGGCGGTGTGGGCTCCGGTCAGCACAAGATGGGCACACCGTCGGCGGTCACCAGCCGCCCGGTGGTGGGGTCATAAGTGCCTGCCAGGTAGTAGAGGTCCTGCTGGTCCTGGTCCTTTCGGCTTCGGGTCATCTGCTCATACTGCTCCCGGCCCACCACCTGACACTTGTGGGAGATGGTCTGTACATCATTCTCATCCTCATGGCAGGACTGGTACAGTGCATTCTGTGGGTGGGCAGGGGCATGGGGGTCAGTGCCGTCTCCCCACCTGCCCCCATTGTCCCAGCCCAGAGGAGACCCGTTTGCTAGAGCATCAACAGAGCCCGGGGTCCCTCTCCTGGCCTCTTTGGCCACTTGTCCTGCTCCTGGAGGTGGTTTCTGAGTTGCTGAGTTTAGAGAGAGCTCCGTCTCAGGGAGGAGCCAAGTGTGTATGTGTGTGTGTTGGGGGAATGGCGGGCTACCTAGGATCAGAGAACAGAACCCCAAGGTGCTACTTGGAGGGGAGGTCCCCACACAGCCCAGCGCCATCACCCGCCAGTTTGGGCGATGTTGGATGCAGGGGGTGACTTTACCTTGCCATCACTCTGTCGTTTCCCCAGCTTGGTCTCCTCAGGGTGGTAGAACCACTTGACGCGGACCACCATGTTGCTGCCCCAGGATTCCCACATGCTCTCAATGCGGCCGATGTAGGGCAGGTTGGGCCGGCCGGCCGACAGGAAGACAGCACAGTCTCCGACACATAGGGTCTCCTTGCCCCGGACGATGGCCTTGTAGAACAGTTTCCTGGCTTTCCCCTTCATGCCCCGTCTCTATAGGGGGCCAAGTGGAGCAGGATGGTGAGATGACAGGAGAGGGTAGGAGGGGCAGACAGTTCTCCCTGTGTGTGGCCTGGGGCCAGCCAGAAATGGCTGGTAGGGAATCCAGGGAGCATGGCTCAGCTCTGCACACAGGGCCGCACACTGCCTTAGGGAACGTGTATGAGATGTTCACAACTGTGTTGTGTGTAAGAACCAAGTCCTGGAATTCTACTGCAGTTTGTTTATATCATCTCAGGCTTATCAACTGTAACCAATGACAAACCCCAAACCAAACTACTCCACAGACATCCATGGCTGCAAACTACAAGGTCAGCGGTTTGCTTCCACCGTCCGCTCCAAGGGAGAAAGAGATGCCAGTCCTTAAAGATCTACAGTCTTGGAAACTGTGGGGCTGTTCTAGTCTGTCCTATGGAGTCACTAAGGACTCAACAGCACTGAATGTTTAACCTTTATAGATGGAGATCACCAGGTCTTTCTTCAGGGTGTCACTGCAGGGATTTGGGTATCTGGGGAAACTGCAAGGGGAAGAAGGGGCACATGGGATTTTGTATGTTTTGCAGTTTTTCCATAAACATAATTTGCTCTAAAAAATAGTCTTATTTCAGAAAAGTGTGAATAACTAAAGGAAATGTCCATCCACAGTGCTGGCAAAAAGTCCCCCAAACAGTTGGTGCGTCTTTCGAGCACCGAGACCCCTCCCTAGGCTGGCGGTAGTGTTTATTGGCAATACCGCCAACCCAAGCAGCACAGGCAAACCTCACACCGTACCCCTGACCTGCTGGGATGGTCCCGGGGTGGTACCGGCATGGGAGGGACACGCCCATAGAGGTGATCTGCCTTGTGGGGTCAGCGGGGACGGTGGGTTTGTTCTTTCCTCGAGTTGTCACAATTTTTAGTTGAAATGGAACAGAAACGCCACCCTATAAATAGCGTGCGTAAGAAGAGTGAGTAGCGCTCGTGTCTACCAGAGCCCACCTACCTGGGTGGGGTTCCCCGACCACTTCCAGAGCTGCCGGGCAGGCAGGAAGGCTGAGATCTTTGGCCGGTTTTCCACAGAGGGCAGCCGCTGCCTCCGCGAAAGCTCTTTGGCTTTGGAGAAGCTCAGGGCCTCCTTATGCTTGAGCTTGGACTTGCTGCTGGGACCGGCGCCTGTGCCCCCACCAGCCACCGCGGACCGGGACAGAAAGCAGCGCTGGGCATGCGTGTGGGGGCCACCCGCCTTGGGGCGCAGGGCATCGGGCTGGGTCAGGAGGGCGGGGACGGGGTGGGTGAGGCAGGTCCGCAGCAGCAGGGCCGGGTCCTCATCGTCCGAGCTGTAGGAGGACTCCTCGTTGTCGGAGGAGCAGAGGCTGGAGGTGGACACGGAGCCGGAGGACGATGAGGTGGAGGAGCCGGATGAGGATGAGGACACGGACAGGCGGGTGAGGAAGCGAGAGGGCATACCGGCTGCCAAGCCAGGGCCGTCCTCGTCCTCGTCCGAGTAGGAGCTGAGGCAGTCACTGTCACAGGGGACTGGATACTCGGCTTGGCCTGCCGCATACTTGCGCAGGGCCAGCCCCATGGGCAACGGGTGGACGGGTGCCCGCCCCTTCTTGTCCTTGCCCACAAGAGCTGGGTGCGCGTAGCTGGGGGTGGGCAGGGGCCGGCCCAGCTTGGGTGCCAGCTCCTTGGTGCCCATCAGCAGTGCCTTGCAGGCCTTGTTCTTGGGCGAGGTCACGCCCTCGTGGTCCAGCTTGACCAGGAACTCACCACCCGCCCGCCGCCGGCCGCCCTTCTCAGCCTCAGCCTTCTTGGCCCGCAGCAGCTTGTGGACACCCCCAGGCAGGCCTGGCCCCGCCCCGCCTCCGAAGGGCGGGTAGGAGCTGGCCAGGCTGCTGAAGGAGGCGGCCCGGAAACCATTGCCAAAGACGGGCGCAGCCACGCTGTGCACCGGGAAGAGCGCCTCTCGAGCTCGCAGTTTCTTGGTGCCGCCATTGAGCTGGAAGAGGTTCTGTAGGGCGCCAGGTCCTTTTGCTGCCACTGCGGCCGCCGCCTTTCGCTTGGTCTGCGACACGGCTGACCAACTTAACAAGGGGTTGGCGCGGCGGCTCAGGAAGTGCTCCGTGGCTCCGGCGGGGGGTTTGGCACCTGAGGTTAGGAGGTCGGCTTTGCCTAATGGGGACAGGTAGAGTTGGTGTGGCCCCCACCCACTTTGCCTGATACCAATCCAGCCCCCCCGCCAAGCCACAGTGAACCCAAGTTCCCAGCAGCCTTGCAAATACCAGCTTTGTCTTTGCTGATGGGTCTCTTCCCGGGGGTCTTGGACACTTCGGCGCCATCATGCACCTTCGGGGACAGGCTGGGTGGGGCAGGGGTCTCACTGGATGGGGGAGCCTCACTAGATGCTTTCTTGTTTCTCCGGCAGCTGCTGGATACCAGAAGGGCTGGGGAGGGCTCTGTGCCTGCAGGGTGGGCGGGGCCTGTGAGTGCCAGGCCCAGGCTGACGCCCACGCCTCAACTCCTCCCACCCAAACCCCGCCCACACCAAACTCCTCCCACCAGCAACCCCACCCACCCCTTAACTCCGCCCACCCCTCAACTCCCAAGCAGCTGCAGGGAGTGGACTGGGGCTGGTCCAGAGTGGCCACCAGCAGTACCTTGCAGGTCTTGTTCTTGGGCAGGATCATGCCCTCGTGGTCCAGCTTGACCAGGGACCCTCACCGTAGGTCAGCCCCTCCCTGGGCCACCCCACCCACACTCACACTGGATCTTGAAGTCTGGTGGCAGCAGCCGTATGTTGGAGACAGCGATGTGACCAGTATCTCCATCATCAAATTCCACCAGCACGGAATCCAGGTCCTCTTCCTCATCACTGGACGCTCCTGTGGAGGGTGGACCCTGACATCAGCTGGACCTCGCTGGCCTCTCTGCTCAGCACCCTCAGGACCCTCAGGAGGTAGGTGGAACCCCGAGGCGCTGGCAGTGACTGACTAGGCTTGGAGCTCTCACAGACTCAGCTCCCTGATCACATCTCCAGCCCTAGTAGCAGGCTTCTTACAGAGGCTTCCATATCATCATCATCCATCACTCTACCTGGATCATAGGGGCTCCACAGGCACACACTGGCACACGGACATGCCTTAGCCCAGTCACACCGCAGACTTCCCAGAAGCACCCACCCACCTCTGCCCCACCCACTCCAGAGACCCCACACCACCTGTCTTGGGGTCAGGAAGACCCCTTCATTGATCTCCTGGCTTAGCTGGACCATCGAAGCTCCTCCCTCCCCTTCTGGTTTTGGGGTGACTGGGAGTTGACTGCTCTGCATGCTGGCTCCAGAGGGAGAGGTAAGGGACAGACTCTCTCTGGGAGGCAGGGTCCACCTCTGCTCTCTTGTGTCCGAGCTCAGGCTCTGGGGGGCTCACCTCTGACCACGTTGCCCGGATACAAGCACCTCGACTTCTGACTCCAGTAAGCACAGACCCGCGTGCCGGGTGGCAGGTACCGGCTGGACTGAGGTCGGACGTCCAAGACCTGCCGGGACAGAAGGGGTACCAGCCAGTGAGTGGGCCAGGCTGGGCAGGGTGACTGAGCAGGAGTGTCCCCCCCAGTGTCCTCACCGCCTCCTGCAGCAGCTGCTCCAGCGAGTAGACCCTATGTCTGTTGCCTCTCTCACCCTCGATGACGATGCTGTAGCTGGAGACAGGAGGAGTGTGAGCGCCGCCCAGGACTACCAGCCACCCTGCTGCCCGTCCATCCCTACACCCAGGCCTACATGTCCGGGGGCTGCAGTGTCCTGACGCTGCCCGCGTACAGCAGACTGTCCTCTTTGGGGATGAGAACGGGGAGGCCATCCTGTAGGTCCTCCTTGTGGATGACACACGAGCTGGCTGCCGGGCCGGGGAGAGGGTGTCAGCATCCCCCACATCCCTGCAGTCCACCTGTGCACCCTTGCCTTCCCTCTCCGAGATGGCCCTCCACCCCAGCCCTGCTCACCCAGGGCCGCGCTCTGCTCTTCGCTCAGGGGGCCACTGGCTTCCTCCTCCTCGTCCTCCTCGTCCTCTGAGAAACTACTGTTGTTGTCAAACTCGAAGTCGTCTTCCACTGCAAAGCTCTCCAGCAGTCGGCTCACAGCCCGGCCCTTGCCCTGGCCCTGGGGAGGTGGGGGGTCAGCTCGGGGCCAGCAGCAGTACGGGAATGGGCTCTCTGGGGCAGGCAGTACCTGCTTGCCAATGGTCTTGCTTTTCACCTTGCCCAGCTTCCTGCCCTTGCCCAGGATGGCCTTGGCATTGCGGGACGACAGAGTGATGGACAGGGACCCGTTCTTCCGCTGGATGGGGTGGACAGAGAAGAGATGGTGTGAGGATGGTGCTTCTGACCCAAGGGCCTGAAGACAGCGGTGGATGTGGGAAGGCCCTCAAATGCGCCTCAAATCCAGGCCCCCCGCTCTCTGGCTCAGGCCCCTGGGATGCCAGCAGACCCTCACCCGCAGTGCCGGCTGCAGCACCGAGTTCTTGCGTGTGGCTCTCTTGAGACGTTCGCTAGCCAGTTTGCTGCCCTCCTCATGGCAAGCGAAGGCCCGGGCTGGACCGAAAAGGGCGTCTCTGGCAGCAGGGGCCCCTGGCTCTGCCCGCAGGCCCCCTCTGGCCTTGCCCTTGGCTTTCTTCTTGCTGGACGCTCCAGGCGGCCTCCGCCCAGGGGCCCGCTCCAGCTTGGTGCCCACCTTGGTCTTCACAGCCCGCCTTTTGATCTTGACCTCACTCTCAGGGCTGGACAGGCGGCAGGCCCCTATGGGAGGGAGGGGCAACGTCACAGTGGACCCCGTAGGCCTTGTTTGCACCAGCCCACGCCACGGCCCTTTGTGTTACCCAGCAGGCCCTGCCGCTCCTTCTTCTTCTTGGCCTTCTGGTTGGCCTCCATCTTGACCACAGACGAGGGTGAGGCTCCTAGCACTGCTACGCCAGCCCCCACGTGCAACGATAGTCCCGAATCCTTGGGCAGGGTTTCAGTCCCCAGAAGGCCCTCACAGTCCTCACTGTCAGAGCCACTGCCTGAGAGAGGGGCAAGCACTATGAGACTCAGCATACTGGGGGGGGGGGGCTTCCCATGAGGAGGGGACAGGGCCCAGATGTTCACGCTGAGGGGGGTGACCCCTGGCCCCATTTCTCTCTCACATCCTGGACATGGCAGGGTCCCTCTCCCCTTCTCAGGACCCCTCCTGCCTCTTCCTTGTCTAGCCGGGCCTGACTGTTCCCTGCCCCACGTCTTGCTTCCTCTTCCCCTCAGCTGGGGGGCTCTTTCCTTTGTTCTCTGTCAGGGAGGCCCCTGGGGGACTGGGGAGGAAGCATCTGTCTGTCCAGGATGGTCTCAGGACATGTACACTTGCCCGATCAGCCAGGCCTCGGCTTCGGAAAGAGCTGGGCAGCAGGGGCTATTTTTAACATCATTTTCTAGGATGTGACCCTGGGTGGGGTGGGGGGGGCACCTAGACACTGAGCTCTGACCCTGGGGGGGCAGACACCTGGACACTGAGTTCTGACACTG